CTGAGTTACACAATGTATCCCATCCCAGTTACATCTGTGTTTCTGGATCTCCATCCGTTGCACATCTTCCCATATCCCAAACATGCTTCTCACAACACGTCTCTGTCTCCCCTCCTCCCTCACTCCCCATACAAGCCTCTCCTCACTCACTCTCATCACACACAAGCCCCACGCATACAGCTCCCTCACACACCCTCCTTACAGTCATCACGTACAGGTACAGCATCTCTCCAGGACCAATGGTGCAGACCAGCGGAGGGGGCCCCTTGAGGTCTCCCCCCAAGCCTTCTCCAGCGACAGCAGCAGCAGCAGCAGCAGCACTCAGGGTGTGTGGGCACGGTATGAGGGGGTTCAGTGCGGCATCCACAGAGGCCCATGGCACCATGCATGGGGGCTCGCTGGGAAGGATGTGAAACGCACCCTGCTCGTCCTGGCAGGGGCCGACAGGGGGACAAGTAACATGTGTGCATGGGGAGAATGGGGGACAGTGAAATGAGATGGCATGAACAGGAAACCGTGGCATGCCAGTAAGTGCATCAAAGGGGGCCTCCGATACAGTCTGTTGGATAAAGCGAGATGTGGCGATTGTGGAGCATCAAGAGAAGAGCAGAGAAAAGAGCGGGCACATGAGTTGGTATCAAAGCTAGGAGTAGGAGAAGGCGAGCAAGCGAGCAAGACGAGTTACAGAAGAAAAGGTAAGGGGGCAGAGGAGGGCAGGCATGATTTTACCTCTGCCCGCCAGTATTTTGCAGCAGGGTATTCCCGCACTCTCATCCGGAACACGTCGAGCGGGGGCAGCAGCCGGAAAGTTTTCCTGCCCGTGACAACCACGTAAAAGTTTTCGTAGTGGTCCTTGTGCCAGCTTGTCACTGCCCGGTCGTCCCCAATCCACAGATTCACAGCTTCGGGCAGGTTGCCGCCCAGCGCAGCTGTGGCGAATCCGATATGCTCGTCTGCATCTGCAGCCAGGGCAGCAAATTCTGTCCTGAAGCTGCCGTTCTGATGCTGAACATAGGGAATGCCGATGAAGGGAGAGTTTGAGGGGTGTGATGCCACGAGTGAGGGAGAGTGTGAGGGGGAGTGTGAGGGGGAAGAACGCGAGGAGTAGAGGAGGCGGAGGAAGGTAGGGAGGGTGAGGGAAGCTTCGTGTGGGGTGACAAACCACGCACAGGGCGAGTCACAGCGGCAAGCCCGAGGAATGCTGTCACAACTGCAGCCGCCACCACCACCACTACACACACTGCCACAGCTGCCGTTACTCTCAGAAAACCTCCCTGCTTTCACCTCCTCCCCCACCCTTTCAGTTTCTCCTTCCGCTTCCGCCCCCTCTGCCTCTTCGTCGCGTCCACTTCCATTACTATTAATGCAGCCCTCCCTATTATCCCACCCGTCCTTGCTCTCCCACCCTTCCTCCCCAGGGAAAAACACCCACCTTCGAACACCCATATCCTCCCTGACCTCACCACCCCGTGCCTCGCTACCGTCACCGCTCCTACACTCACATCCGCTACTCGTTCCCCCGTCTTCCCTCGTGTTACACCCTGAACCCAGATTCTCGTCTCTTCGTTCTGCCGATCCTGCTTCTGACCGTCCGACGCCGTCGCGCCAAACAATCGCGTCGCCGTGGCCGTCAGGAGTGAAATCCACAGTGATTTTTTTATCCCCTAACGCGTCAATTAAGTATTGGTCGGTTCGCCAGAGGGACAATGCCGGCCAATGGCTGACGGCGCCGGTAATCACGCACGGCCGGTTAGCCGCTACATAGTCGCGGTAGAATTCGAGGGGGGAGAGAACTATGGGGGGATCGCTAGAACCACTAGTAGGATTGAAGCCTGCTCTGTACGCGTTAACACTCGCTTCGGTTTTAGCATAAGATCGCGCAGCTGCGTGCGAAATAGCGATTCTGGGAACGGCGGTCGCGCGACACTCGCGGCTGGAGGCGACAATGTCGCCAGAGTCGTCATCGCTGTCGCTGTCGCTAGTCGCACCGAAGGAGAACTCGCGAGCGTCGCATGAGAGACCGCTCAGCAGCGACGCAATCGCGTCCCTGTCACCACCTCTTCTCTTATCGCGAAGAGCCATCAGGCGACCCCGCGGGATATGCTAATACCTGAACGAATAAAGCTGCTTCTATCGTATCCTAGTTCTTGAAAAATCGTGCTGTCTATGATATCAAAAGGAGAAAGCTATCCTCGGTACAAACCGAATCTACTGCAATACTCTCAAATTCATAGCGACTTCTGTTAGGAGTGATGAAGGAACACAAGCTTGGCATAATGCACATAATATTGGAAAAACAAGCAAATTCAAACGCCTTGCAAACTTGCGCTCAAGAAGGTCGAGCCAATTGAGCGTTCATTCAGCAGACCAATTGGTCTCCAGCCTTACTTCGAACCACTGGAAAGCACCTTTCCCACCACCCAACTCCAATTCACAAGCCGAGTCGAGCAAAAACTCTGCTGCTTCCTCCAGAGTCTCAAAAACTGCCAAGTCGTCCGACAGGCGTTTCCCGTCCTTTTCCCAGCTTTGAAGCTCACTCAAAAGGCACTGTAGCACTTCCTCGCGTGATAAAAACACTTCCTCTTCGCCAGGAGCTATAAAAACGTAAGTGTTGGCTGTTTCGTAGTGTACTGAGCGACCTGCATTTAGCTGGCAGATGGGGACCAGGGGGACCAGGGGGAGGGACCAGGGGACCAGGGGGAATGACCAGGGGGGGCAGGGGGAGGGACCAGGGGGAGGGGCCAGGGGGGGGACCATGGGGAAGGACCAGGGGGACCAGGGGGAGGGACCAGGGGGACAAGGGGGACCACGTGGAGGGAAGGGCACGGGTAAATGGAAGTTGGTTTCGAACAATCAACTGGGAGAAGGTGCAAAGGAGCATATGGATCGAAACACCAGAACATGGTACACATGCAGGAAACTGCCTGGAAACTCTAAAAGGAGGACAACTTAGGGGACTACGTTAAGTTTGACATCTTAGGAGACCGAGAAAGAGAGAGAGCAATCAAGAGAGGGGGAGACAGAGGGCAGGAAGGTTCTTAGTGAAAAATGAAGGTAATGGAGGAAGAGGAAGGGAAATATGAGGAGGGGTAAGCAGCGGAAAAGAGAATGCGGGAAGAAGGGAGAAACAGGGGGAGTGGAGATGCAAAAAGAAGGGAGAAGCAGGGGGGGTGGAGATGCAGGAAGAAGGGAGAAGCAGGGGGAGTGGAGATGCAGGAAGAAGGGAGAAGCAGGGGGAGTGGAGATGCAGGAAGAAGGGAGAAGCAGGGGGAGTGGAGATGCAGGAAGAAGGGAGAAGCAGGGGGAGTGGAGATGCAGGAAGAAGGGAGAAGCAGGGGGAGTGGAGATGCAGGAAGAAGGGAGCATGGCAGAGCAGAAGAGTGACCGTACCCGAGAAGCCCGAGATCTTGAAACTTCAGCAGAAACGATTACTATCCGTGGAACACATGCTGTTACAGGCAGCTTTGCACGGAATGATGGTAATGGTGTCAATAATGCTCTCCGGTGCACCGTTTCTGACAGGCTTCGAACGAACATGCATGATCTAGCGGCTGCTGAAGACGCAGTCGACGTCATCGGCGCTGCTAATGCGGCTGAAGCGGGTGAAAGTGACATCATTGCTGCTGCTTGCAAGTGGGTGGGGATTGGAAAAACACAACAAGAGCACACGAAACGAAGAGAGCAGGCGGAGGAGGGAGAAAGAAATGCAATGCGTGAGACGACAGGTGACAATGGGTTGATGAGAGAAGCGGATCAGAGGCAGGTACGGACTGAGAAGGTCCAGTCTCGGTTTGCAAACAATTTCATATCGAAGTTTGATCACAGCTTTTAGTTAAGAAGTCGCAAACATCAGGCATGACAAGCAACGGGAATACCTGTGCAAGGACCCATGGTGGCGGCAGGGGTTCTAATTAGCTACAGTCTAAAGCCGTGAACTACGGCTGCTGCTGGGATGGAAACGCGCGCTAAAAATGATAGAGAATTTTAGTCTCCTTGGGAACTTGTTGCAGTCAGGGTGGGGACTTGCTTTGTACCCGCTATGTATACCTCGTTTTGAGGGTTGTCGAATATTGAACTGTACTGCAAAACTTTTTGAAAACGGGTTCTGCTGCATGTTCACTGGTACAGTAAAAGCGGTGTCCACATTCCTGAATTCTGGTTCTGGGCCACGTGTCTCTCAGCCATTCCATTTCCTGACCTGCAGGAAGATTTGTCCAACAATGCTTCTGAACCACGGTCTGCTGTTCAACAAACAACATCCTTGTTTCTGTACACTTTAACATGCCTTGAATGCCAACAAAATTTTATAATTTGGGTGAAAACAATTGGAGAATTCAGACGAGTGAGAATTGCTTGGCTATTTTGAAACATCTTACTCGACCACCGAAAATTCCATTTTACGCAAGGTGATTACCCAAGAAACTCCCAGCAATGGCGAAGCTCCCAAGGGACACCATGGCGACTCGATCCATCATCAACCCATCGTCATTATCCCTCCGTCACCACTCCCCCCATGCACCTATCCTCCACTCCACTCCACTAACACCTCGCCTCCCCCCTGCTCCAAAATTTCCACAAGGAGCAAATTCTACTAATCTCTTCACTATGTTACAACACAGTTTTTCCACTTCCCTGTTCTCCTCTGCCTTTTCTTCCACCTGTTAGCTTTCGCGGATCGAAGCGTGTAACGGGCGACGCACGCAAGCGTGCTGTGTTGGTTTGCGACTAGAATCCTCTCCTTTCTGAGAGTAGAATTCGTCTCAGTTCCTAGCGCGCTTTGCAGAAAGTCAGACGTCGCGTAGATAGCCGGCATGGGAGCCCTTTTCACTGGGGCCTCCTCCCTATCCAAGCTCTCCGCCGTCGCACGTGTGTCGCCTACGCTTTCGCCCAGACAGTCTCTTGGTTCGCTTAGCGATCGCCTGATTCCCTCGGGATTGATCTCCACACGCGTTGCTAGAACCCGACTTTACCGATCCAGCCTATTTCCCCATCCCGCCGCAATGGTCGCCGGGATCGACGGTGGAATTGGCGGCCACTCGGCCGATAAGCAACAACCCGCGAGGCCAATCACTGTCGCGTCGGCGGCGGCTGCAGGAGATGGCGGCACCGCAGCTTCCTCGCAAGTGAAGGAGGTTCCAGCTGGCGCCGCAATTTCCGGCGCGAAAACCGGGGTAGCAGCCGCGGCGGGGAGAGGAAACGTGGGAGTGCGGCGATTGGAGGAACTTGAGTGGGAGAGCACGTTTGTTGACAAGCTTCCTGGGGATCCAGTCGAAGAAAACCACGTTCGAATAGTACGTACTAAATGCAGGGAGATTCTTTGTGCTAGTAGTAGTTAGGCACTTCTTTTCTTCTTCTTCTTCCTTTTCTTTTTCTTCCTTTCTTCTTGGCGGCTTGTTTCGTTTGTAATTGGGTATTTCTATCGACTGAAATTTGTTTATTTGATACCTAAAACTGAACCTTCATCACGGTCTTTCGCTGCACGTGTGTAATTACATGCATGGCGTTGCTCTGTCCCTCCTTCGCGCACCACAGGTTCGCAACGCGTGCTACTCGCGAGTGCGACCTTCGCTAAAGCTCAAGGACCCGCAGATCGTCGCCGCTTCGGAGTCTGTGGCTCACCTCATTGGCCTCGATCCGAATGAGTGAGTTGATTATAAGTTCTCCTTTCGCGAATTAGCTTTCTGCTTTTGCTCAACGTGAATTCAGCCGTGTTACCGCGTCGGAGTTGGTGGCTCACTTTATTGGTCTCGACCCGAACGAGTGAGCTCGTCTGTGAAATTGCCTGAATAGTTCTAGCCTTGGAGTCCACTGGCTATGAAATTCCTAGCCCTAAAGAAATAGGCAACCTTTCATATTGTGCTGGCACTTATATTTTATATCTCCTTCCATTCCGCTTTCCCCCGCCACAGGTTCACGCGTCCTGAGTTTGCGGCGGTCTTCACGGGGGGCATTGTGCTTCAGGGCTGGTGAGTGGTCAGAGTATAGGAACCTTCTCTTTCATCCAGTTTGTCAAGTGCTTCAGGCCTGGTGCGTGCTGAAACCGGTCCTCTAGGGCTGAGGCCAATTCCGGAATTATTCTAGGGCTGAGGCCAATTCCGGAATTATTCTAGGGCTGAGGCCAATTCCGGAATTATTCTAGGGCTGAGGCCAATTCCGGAATTATTCTAGGGCTGAGGCCAATTCCGGAATTATTCTAGGGCTGAGGCCAATTCCGGAATTATTCTAGGGCTGAGGCCAATTCCGGAATTATTCTAGGGCTGAGGCCAATTCCGGAATTATTCTAGGGCTGAGGCCAATTCCGGAATTATTCTAGGGCTGAGGCCAATTCCGGAATTATTCTAGGGCTGAGGAGTGTGGAGTAGAAACGCGCCTCATCTCTCACAAACACCCCTCCGTCTCTCCTCATCTCTCCTCATCTCTCCTCATCTCTCCTCATCTCTCACAAACACCCCTCCGTCTCTCCTCATCTCTCCTCATCTCTCCTCATCTCTCACAAACACCCCTCCGTCTCTCCTCATCTCTCCTCATCTCTCACAAACACCCCTCCGTCTCTCCTCATCTCTCCTCACATCCTTCTGCAAGCCTCACGCGCAGTGCTACGAGGGCCCCCCCACATCCCCGCCTCCCCTCTCCACTGCCCTTTGCCCCTCCTTTACCGCGCACTCCCCCTGCCCGCTCCCGTTCTTCCCCTGTTTCTTCCCCTCACGCCTTGCAGCAAGCCCTACGCGCAGTGCTACGGGGGGCACCAGTTTGGGTCATGGGCGGGGCAGCTGGGGGATGGGCGCGCCATCACACTGGGGGAAGTGGTGCTGGGGCGGGAAGGCGTGCAGGGGGACGGGCGCGCAGGGGAAGGGGTGGAGGGAGCGGTGGGAGTTGCAGCTGAAGGGGGTGGGGAAGACGCCCGTACAGTAGGCACGCGGATGGGCGCGCTGTGCTGCGCAGTTCCATTAGAGAGTACCTCTGTAGCGAGGCCATGGCCGCCCTGGGTGTGCCTACAACGAGGGCGCTCTCTGTTTGTCACCACTGGGGAGAAGGTGCTGCGAGACATGTTCTACAAGTGAGTGTGGCTGTGACTGTGTGTGTTTATTTCAGTGTCACCTATGCTTGACAAGTGAGTGTGATCATCTGTGTTGCGTTTTGAGTCGACTCAAAACACGACTTCTTGACAAGTGAGTGTGATCGTCTGTGTTGACTTCGGAGTCACCCGATTTCCATTCCCATCCCTCCATCCCCATCAGTTACATCACCAAGTTTGAACCAGGAGCTGCTGTGTGCCACTTGGCACCCCATTCCCCATCAGGCCTCTCCATTCTCATTGTCGCATCCCCATCCCCCCATTCCCCCATCCCCCAATTCCCCGCCTCCCCGTTCCCCCATCCCCCAATTCCCCCGCCTCCCCGTTCCCCCATCCCCCAATTCCCCCGCCCCCCCGCCCCCCCCGTTCCCCCATCCCCCAATTCCCCCGCCCCCCCGTTCTCCCATCCCCCTCTGAACGCCAGTGGCAACGCCAAGTTCGAGCCAGGAGCTGCTGTGTGCAGCGTGGCACCCTCCTTCATCAGGCCGGCCCCATATCCTCATCCGTTTCCTGCATCCCCTTCCCCCCATCCCCTCCCATCACCCATTACCCCATCACCCCATCCAACCCAGTGGCAACGCCAAGTTCGAGCCAGGAGCTGCTGTGTGCCGCGTGGCGCCTTCCTTCATCAGGTCAGTCCTCGTATCCATTCAAGCCGCATTCACACAAGGTGCCGTTTTTGCACGAGGTTGCTTTTTGTTTGCTTAAGATACGCGTATACCAGACTGTGTACTTGACGGTTGTGTTAGAGCATCAGGGCTGTTATTGGAAAAAAAGAGGTTGGTGAAATTTCTCATTATTTGAAGCACGTTTTTCATGTGATGTTCTCGCGCCCATCTATTTCTCATTCTGTTCCCAACAGGTTCGGCTCGTTCCAGCTCCATGCCTCCCGGGAGGTTTGGACAAGGAGATGGTTCGGGTGCTGGCGGACTACACCATTCTGCACCACTTCCCGCACCTGGCCGACCTCCCCGAGCCTCCAGTGCAGGTCCGGGAGCCAGGCTCGGAGGAGGACGAGGAGGTTGGGGATCCCGATGCTGTGGATGTGACGACAAACAAGTATGCAGGTATGTGGTTGGCGCTTCCGTTCACTTGCGCTTCTGTTCACTTGTGCTTCTGTTCACCTGCGCTCCCTTTCACTTGCGCTTCCTTTCGCTTGCGCTTCCGTTCACTTGTGAACAGCATGTGTGTGTGTGCTTGGTCCCACAATCAACTACGGGCCCTTCGGATTTCTCGACTCCTTCGACCCCGATTTCACCCCCAGCACCCCCTCCTTTTCCCCTCCCTCCCCCCTGCCCCCTTCCTCCCGCCTGCCCTCTCCAGCATGCTTTGCTGAAGTAGCAGCAAGCACAGGCAAATTGGTGGCGGGGTGGCAAGCAGTGGGGTTCACACACAGCGTGCTCAACACAAACAACATGAGCATCCTCGGCCTCACCATCGACTACGGGCCCTTCGAATTCCTCGACTCCTTCAACCCGGATTTCACCCCCAACACATCCTTTTTTCCCCTTCCCCCTCCCCCTCCCTTTCCCCCTCCCCTTCCCCTGCCCCGCCCTGCTCTCCAGCCTGGTTTGCTGAAGCACCAAGGAGCGCAGGCGAGCTCGTTGCAGCGTGGCAGGGGGTGGGGTTCACGCACGGCGTGCTCAACACGGACAACATGAGCATTCTCGGCCTCGCCATCTCCCTGTCCTCCCCCTTCCCATGTCCTTCCCCCGTGTCACCAGCGTGGTTCGCTCAAGTAGCAAAGAGCACGGGAGAGCTAGTAGCAGCATGGCAAGCAGTGGGGTTCACGCACGGCGTGCTCGACACGGACAACATGAGCATTCTCGGCCTCACCATTGACTACCCCTTCCCCTCCCCCTTCCCATTTATCACCAGCATGGTTTGCTGAGGTAGCAGCAAGCACGGGAGAGCTCGTCGCGGCATGGCAGGGGGTGGGGTTCACGCACGGGGTGCTCAACACGGACAACATGAGCATTCTCGGTCTCACCATTGACTACGGCCCCTTCGGGTTCCTTGATGCCTTTGACCCGGATTTTACCCCCAACACGTCGGACATGCCCGGGAGGAGATACTGCTTCCGGCAGCAGCCGGATATTGGGCTGTGGAACGTGGTGCAGCTGGCCAATACGCTCGTGACAGGTGGCATAATTGGAGTGGCCGAGGCGCAGCACGGGGTGTCCAGGTGTGTGTGTGTGTGTGTGTGTGTGTGTGTGTGTGTGTGTGTGTGTGTGTGTGTGTGTGTGTGTGTGTGTGTGTGTGTGTGGGTGTGTGTGTGTTGGGGGATTTTCAGGCATGTTTCAGCCGTAGGGCATTCCCTAGTGGTCAGCACCATCCATCCACCAGGCCCCTTTGGATCCCTCGATTCCTCTGAGTCATGCAACTTCTGAGGCGCCTCAAAATCCCGCGGACATGCCTGGGATGCCTTTCACCCGGATTTCACCCCCAACACGTCGGACATGCCCGGGAGGCGGTACTGCTTCCAGCAGCAGCCTGATATCGGGCTCTGGAACGTGGTGCAGCTGGCCAATACGCCCGTGACAGGTGGCATTACTGGAGTGGCCGAGGCTCAGCACGGGGTGTCCAGGTGACTTTGGAGGGGGATGGCTGTGTGGGTGGGTGGGTGGCAGAATGGCCGTGCCTTGTGTCTTCACTAGAATCGAGAATCACTTGGAGCTGCTAGTTGGCAGCGACTGCTTCATTCCCCATTTGCTCACCCCCCTCTCATCTCCCATCACAGGTATGCGTAGTCCTTTCTCTCAGCCTACCAGCAGCGCATGGCGGCCAAGCTGGGTGTGCCATCATACGACAAGGACCTCACCCAGTCGCTTCTGCAACTCATGGCCATGAGCGGAGCACCAACACGTCTCTGCATTCCTGCTGCTGCTGCTCTGCTGCTGCTGCTGCTGCTCTGCTGCTGCTGCTGCTGCTGCTCCGCTCATCCCTCTTGCCGCTTTCCGCTCTCCTCCCTCCCCCCTGCCCCCCTGACCCCCACCTCCCATCACAGTACGCGGAGGCATTCCTGTCAGCCTACCAGCAGCGTATGGCAGCAAAGCTGGGTCTGCCAGCATACGAAAAGGACTTGACTCACTCTCCGCCCTCGTCCCCATGTCCCCCTTCAACCCCCCCTCCCCCCCTCCCCCCCCCCCCGCATTTCCCATCCCAGGTACGCGGAGGCATTCCTGTCAGCCTACCAGCAGCGCATGGCAGCAAAGCTGGGTCTGCCATCATACGAAAAGGACTTGACTCAGTCGCTGCTGCAGCTCATGGCCAAACATGGCGCTGACTTCACCAACACCTTCCGTGCCCTTGCTCGTGTTCCTGCTGAACGAGGTGGGTACTTGTGTTGAGGCCAAGCTGGCTCTGCCAGCGTACGACTAGGACCTCACCCACTTGCTGCTGCAACTCATGGCCAAACATGGCGCTGACTTCACCAACTCCTTCTGCTCTCTTGCCCGTGTGCCCGCTGAAAGAGGTGAGTCTTCTAGCGGAAGTGCTGTTGGGAGTATAGGTAGTGGGGGGTAGTGAGGGTGTGTGGGCAGTGCGGGTAGTGTGTGCGTCTGCAGCTCATAGCAAATCACGCCTCTGACCTCGCCCGCGTGCCCGCTGAAATGTGAGGGGAATCAGGGTCTGCAGCTCAACACCTTTAGAGCCCTCGCCCGCGTGCCCGCTGAAAGGGATGGTCCTCTAGCGGATTTGCTGTTTGGGAGTAGTGGTCGTGGGGCAGTGGGGGTAGTGGGAGTACTGGGGCAGTGGGGCCAGTGGGGGTAGTGCGGTAAGTGCGGGGCATTGCGGGTAGAGCGGATACTGCAGGTGTCTGCACACTATGGCGCTGATACGGTGCTGTGATTAGCCATGATGTGTTGTGCAGACAAAGTGACTTTTGAGTCGACTGAAAAGTCACCTTGAGAAGTGCGGGGCATTGGGGGTAGAGCGGACACTGCAGGTGTCAGCACACCATGGCGCTGATACGGTGCTGTGAATAGCCATGATGTGCAGACATGATGTGCAGACATGATGTGCTGACATGATGTGCAGACATGATGTGCAGACATGATGTGCAGACACCTGCAGGTTCCGCTCCACTCTCCCCATGGTTTTTGACAGTACGAACATCTGATCAACACCTAGTTTTGAGACGGCTCAAAACTACAACAGGCTCTTAGGAGTACCAAAGTCGTATCAACACCTTCGGGGCCGTCGCCCATGTTCCTGTTGTTCCGCTTCCCCCTCTCCCTCTCCTTCCCCTTCCCCTCTGCAGACTTTTCAGACGCTGACCTGCTGGCGCCAATGAGGGGGGCGCTGGGGTTGCAGGAGGGGGCAGGGAAGGAAGGGGAGAAAGAGAAGGAATGGGTGGACTGGCTCCGGCTTTATACTGCCAAGGTGGGTGGGATGGGTGTGATGCGAGTTGTCAGGGAGAGGGAGTGGGGCAACAGGAAGAGAGAGTGGGTGTGTTCTGAATGACTGGGAAGGGAAGGAGTGGGAGGGGAAGAAAGAGAAGGAATGGGTTGAGTGGCTCCGGCTTTATACTGCCAAGGTGGGTGCAATGGCCTGTCATAGTGTGTTGCACTGCTCTCCGTCTGTGTTTCATCTCCTTGTAATGAGTTGATTTTTTAGTCAGCTACTCCGTCTGTCTCTTGCCAGTTGCTACTTTCGGTATTTTCTCGGTCGATGTTTTCTTCAGCACTCTTTCTCTCACACACACACCCCACTTATGTCTAGTTGTCACTCGCCCTGCATTTCTATACAGTTTTTGCTCCTCGTTTCCTGTGCACCTTGTGAAATGTATTTTCGTCGTCCCTTGTTGTCCCTGCTTTCAGCTACGGCTGAAAAGGTTTCAGATGCTGCCCGGCGGGCAGCTATGGATGCAGTCAACCCAGCTTACATCCTCCGCAACTACCAATGCCAGCTGGCGATCGAGGCAGCTGAACACGGAGATTTCAGCGTTACACAGCGGTTACAGGAAGTGTTGCAGAATCCTTATAAGGAGCAAGCAGGGCTGAGGAATTTGCCCAGCCCCCTCCTGAGTGGGCACTCAAGCCTGGGGTTTGCATGCTCTCGTGTTCTTCTTGAGTGATTGTATTTCTACGTATTGAGGGGATAGTGTATACGGTAATAGGACTGGGTTCTTGTGAAACTAAAACCATAAAATCCATTTATCCATTGACTCAACATGTTGGAATGATTGAAGATAGTATCATAGCTAACTCTGGAGATAGGGAAAGGAAGTGCGGTGCTGTTACGAGTGCAATTGGAGTGATAGTGAGCGAGGATTGCACTATCGAGACAGGATACAATGAGCGAAGGAATGAGCGAAGAATATATAGCGAAACTATGGTGGTAACGGTAATGTGGAAATGGGGCTGAGCGTGCGCGACGGGCCTGGCCTGGTGCCGAGGTTTGGGGAACTGTCGAGGCGGAGGTCCGGAGCGCGGGTTACCAACCGGGCCGTGTGGTTGGGTCGCATCGTGAACAGTGGCGGGAATGGTGTCGAGGCGAATGTCGCGAGTGGTAACGGGATATTGTGGGGTGCTGTCAGTGTTGTACGCGCTGAGCAGGGACGCGAAGTAGGGAATAGGAATTTTCCTTATACTACCCCCCCCCCCCCCCCCCCCCCCCCCCCCCCTTAAGGAGGTCTTTTTACGAGAGCGCGTGTATATCCCGGAAATTTCTGCTGCGCAGGTAGTCGGTGAGGACGGGGTGGTGTCAGAACATATATATAGCTTATGCTGTTGTGTAGGCTATAGTGGGGTATCCCATAGGGGGTACAACCCAATTAGGGTTTCCCATATGTACTCACTTCATTCATAGTTCATTCATCCTCGTTCTACTTTTCTCATGGTATCGAGCAGGTTTCCTCGTGGGAACTGTTCCTAGGGCCCACCGTTTTTTTTCCTGCCCGGAGCGCACTCTGCCCCTACCCGAGTCGCGCTTCCCTCTCTCTTGGCCCCTAGTGGCCCCTTTAGCCGCCCGTCACGGCCCTTAGACGCCCGCGCGCCGCCCGTCCCGGCCCCTAGACGCCAGTGCGCCACCCGGCCCCGGCCCGGCAGAGCAGCGCGCCGCCCGTCCCGGCC